CGTATTTAGCAAACTAATTACCCTTCAACATGCAATGGGAATTTAGCACTGTCAACATATGTCAAATAGAGACCATATTGCTTACATTGGAAAAGGATTGTTTGAATCCTACCCTTATTTCAGCAGGAGAACGTGCAGAACAAGTTAGTTCTGCATGCTGAAAATAAATGCAGACATTCTGTTAGAAGGACTAGGGTGCTTTAGATGTTGGTCTCTGATTCTGAGCAGCCCCAATCTCAATCTCCCATGATAGAAGCTGCAGACTAGCAGCATCTGGCGGCAACAGATGCCAGCTGGAGTCCCATCCCTTTGTAGGAAAGGAAACATTGTCTTGTCATATCTCCAGGAATACTGTATGCTTATCCAACATGTCACAGTCAGTTAGAAACCAGACATTTTAGTCTCCCTTTCTGATGTTAAGGTAACCTCTTTCCTTCATCCTGACTGTAAAAAAAATATCAAGCTAACTTTCTAAATAATCTGTTTGAAGAAACCTGCTTAGGAACTTCCAAAAATGGGCTAGCTACAAAGAAGATACTTCTGAGAGCTCCTCATTGTACAGTTAAGAAATGGAGAATTGGTGCCAACAGTATTTTTTCTTCAGTAACTTAACTGCATGGTAGGGAACAATTTAATCTAAACTGCATCCTTCCTGATGTGCTGTCATGAGATATTTAATTTTTCACTGCATTGGTTTTCAAAAATCTGTATCCTAAATAGTCGTCAAACATACCACTGGAAAGGAAAAAGATTACTAGCAGGTTATAGTTTATATGTAAACTATTTTATTGTACAGTGCTAAACTCATAAAAGCAGTGCAATTCCTAAAATCTTACCTAGCTGGGTCCTACCATATGCCAATTTAAAACTTCCAGCGTTTACACCAGGGGTGTCAAACTCAAAGCCGGGGGGCAGGATCTGGCCTGTGGGGTGCTTAGGTCAGGCCTGCAGGGCCACCCTAGAAACAGCAAAGGACTGGCCCATGGTGCTTCTGCCAGCAAAAATGAAGCTCAGGAGCACCATCTGTGCCCCCCCCCCCCCCGAACTCCATTTTCACTGGCAGAAGACGGCAGGAGGTCATTGCAGCTGAAAATGGAGCTCTGGAACCTGTTTTCACTGGCAGAGTGCTAGGGCCACCACAGATGCCTCCGACCCAAATGACTTTAAACTGGCGATGCCCACCATGGCCACGCCCACCCAACCCCTGAGGTCAAACACAACCTTGACGCGGCCCTCAATTAAATCGAGTTTGACACCACTGCTTTACAGGAATATAAAAGAAGTTTGGAAAAAGTTACTATTAGGCAATTTTACATTGCTTAGGTGCTTTTTGAATACTGTCCTCTAAATCAAGGGTCTCCAACCTTGGCAACTTTAAGACTTGTGGACTTAAACTCCCAGCTGGCTGAGGAATTCTGGGAGTTGAAGCCCACAAGTCTTAAAGTTGCCAAGGTTGGAGAACCCGCTCTAAATCAAGACTAGATGTAAGCAAACTTTTTTTTACAGATTAAATCTCATTCTCACAAACCACTTATTTTTCTTAAGTGGAGCAAATGCTTAATCTATAAATGTAGAAGCCCTAAATCCTCATTTAAGACACAGAATAGTGGACTTCATTAGTATCAGTCCTTTTAATTCACAGGGGCTTGTACTCAGAAAGGGCAGGTGAGTGGTGAGACAGATATTGTAGATGTGATGTTCACAAAAAGAGGTGGCTTTCAGTCATACAGTTCAGTCTGCCATCTTGAATTGTAACTAGTTATTATTTACTTGGAATGTAAGAAAATGCATTTGAGAAATTAAGAAGACAAGAACTTCAATCATTACTAAAATCATGTTACTGTTTACATTTTTTTAATATTTAAGTGTGTATTTTTCTTGTGCTTTCTGCTGCTTTTATGCATAGAAGATGTTACAAGTTAACTGCCCATGGTTGTTATCTCATGTCCATTGAAACAATTAAAACAAACAAAATTTTCATAAAATCCCTCTTACTTTTGACTTCTCCATTCTCCTTGTCATTATTTGCTCATAATTTTAAACATCTTCTATAGTCTGTTGTAGAGAATTTAAAAGTTAATGCTTGTTTTCCCTATAAACTAAAATAGTTATTCTCACAGTATCTGTTTAAAAAACAGAGGCTATTATAATATTTATTTATTCATGAGATGATATATCTATGAGGAGCCATATTTTTCAACACGGAATTTGAATTTAAAGCACTGATTTTTTTTAAGTTTATAAAAAGTCATTTCTTTCTGAAGGAAGAAATAATTGATCAAATCTTAATATTACAAAGAAAAGAGATCTTAGATTATGTAGTCTTGCTCTAACACCAAAACTATATATTCTTTAAAACTACATTAAAATGCAGTCTGAGTGACCTTCAATCCATAGAAGAAAACGGAGCACTTTGCTTTTCATTTAATTTCTCCAAAAACATTGTATGCTTAATTGTTGTGCTTAAATGTTCCTGTATTACAATAGAAAATGGCTATGCAGCCCTATGGATTTAATTGTCAAACAGTGTTTAAGAGTGCATTTGTATATGTATGTGAATGTAGCATCATTCTGCCACTTTTTCAAGCATCAATTGTCAGTCAATTCTGAAAAAAGCCACAACTACTTCAAAGAGTGTCAGAGAGATGGAATATTTGTATTCTCACATATTCTGAAACATCCTTATGGAAACTGAATCCAAAACATTGTACAAGGAGAAGCCACAAAAGAAATAAATAGAAGAGGTTTATAAATAAGATGAGAAAGCATCATATGAAAGCATATCCTATTTTGACCCTTTAATACTTTTAGGTTCCAGCATTTAACATAAATTCTTTGAAAACAGCATGGAACAAAATGGAAAACTAATAAATGTAATAAAATGAATAAATGTTAGGGATTGCCATTTGCTTTTAACATGAAATAGATGTGGAGAGTTCAATTTTGTCCTATGTCATAATTGAATACAGTGGTGCCTTGGTACTTAACATTAATTGGTTCCAGAAGGTTCAATGAATACTAAAAACAAAGAGTGCCAAACAAACCACCTGACTTACCACATGACTCTTTGTTTCAGCCGGTAAGGACTTCCTGTCCCTTTTCCTATGTCAGTGACCTGCGTGGCATGGCAGACTTTTTGTCCATTCCCCGCTTTTCCTATTGCAGCACTTTGAGTACCAAATAAACAATGAGTACCGGGACCTCATTTGCTCATCAAAATATATCAAGTACCAAATTTAATGAATTTTGAAGCAGTCGAGTACTGAGGTACCATTGTATTATTACATTAAATTGTGGCACTCCCAGAATTAACAGTGATTCCCATTTTCTAAAGCCAAAAATATGTTTCGTCTGATTTCATAATCTTTGTAAACATTGTTTGTAATGGATAACTTCCATTTATTCAAAGCCATGATTTTTGCCATAAAATATTTTATGAAGCATATATATAATAAACATGGTAAGTTCTTTTCTTTCTGAAATTTAGCAAAGCTGAAATATCACTAGGCTTAAAAATTATTACCGGTAGTAAACCATTAGTAAACATTGACTTTCTCATCCAAATGTGGTATACTTTATTGCTCCCTGCCACATTCAATAAATTTTCTTTATGCTTTTGAAACAAATTATTATATAGTGTAAACCTACTTTTTTAGTTCAACATGCAAAACAATTGTTCAGGAAACAGAAATTTCCCAACATGTTTTTTCTGTATTTCAGTTATGAATTATTATGGTACACTATGACTTCATTAATAATGAGTATAATTTACGTAGTTGATTACACCTACTGGATAAACACTTGTCTGTTTTGCTCTCATTGTGAGCAAATGGGTAGCAGTGATATATTTAAAATAATTTTCTGTGGAAACATTTTTTTTTAACCATAGTCTGATTGCCAGGAATGAAATTGTTACGATAACCATGTAACACCTCCAAGAACAATCATTGGGAGCACAGAATTATAAAACTACCTTTTCCTTAAGATCATCTCTCCTACTTTTTTCTGCTGGAAAATGAGACCAAGTGATCCATTAATGTTATCAATATGTTAGTAAATACATAGAGTGGTAGCTAGAATTACCAAGCACACTTTTATAATATTACCATTTATTAAAAGATAAAAATTTCCATTTGGAGTAGTTGCACATAGAACAAAACCATAAATAGGCAGATCTTTAGCTTTTTAGCCAGAAATTTGAGCCAGTGTTCTCAAAACTAAGAACTAAACCTTTAAAATCATGTTAATTGTAGAGTTTCAATGCTGTTTTGCACTTGTTTAATATTTTTTTAAATTTATTGTATCATTGCTATGTGTTTTACTATTTACGTTGTATGCAGTCTTAGTGACATTTATAGAAAGATAAGGTAAATACCGTAAGTTAGCTAATTAGATAAACATTCCAAAATTTAAAATTCTGCTTATCACACAAGCATTTTTAAATGTGAATCTTTTCTCCATCCAAGATCATTTAGCTGTAGAAAATGATAGGTAGCAATGCATCCCAGCTGGACTCATTTGGTGTGAGCAGCTTATCCTTATGGTACCTTTCTATGCTCAATTGTACTATAAGTGGCCCTGGAACCTCTTCAGGAGCACAGTTCAGAACGAAGCTTGTGTTCGTATGAGCTGTGGATCCTGAATCTATGGACAGGCACTTCTGTAGTTGTCCCAAAGGTGCTTTTTCAAGAGGCAACTGGAGTTTCTGGTTTTCTTTTGAAGATGTCTCACTTCTCATCCAAGAAACTTCTTCTTCAGCTTCAGAAGTTTCTTGGATGAAAAGCAAAAAGTCTTCAAATAAAAGCCAAAAAAATCCAGTGGCCTCTTGAAAAAGCACCTTTGGAACAACCATAACCTGGATGACTGAGAATCCATAGATACTTCTGTGTTTGCATCATTTGAGGAGAGGGGGCAGTGAATGATTTGAAGGGTGTCTGTGCAGCCGATAGATTGCTCTTACATCCTGTTCTTCCCCTCTCACAATGGCTTCACCACCACAGGTTTATTCCCGAGGACTGGTCTACCTGCAGTGTGACCTGTGGAGTGGGCGTCCAGGCGCGGCTGGTGAAGTGCCAGGTGCTGCTATCCTTCTCTCAGTCTGTGGCAGATTTGCCCATTGATGAATGTGAAGGGCCCAAACCAGTGTCCGAACGAGCTTGCTACAGTGGTCCCTGCAACGGAAAAACTGGTGAAGAGACTGATCTGCCCTTCAGGGGCTCCCAAGATTTTGATGAACTTTACGATTGGGAATATGAAGGCTTCACTGAATGTTCTGAGGCTTGTGGTGGAGGTGAGTTCCATTTGCAGTTTCCCTTGTTTCTTTGTTTCCTACATACTGGGTTGTGGAAGTAATGTACTTGGATCCAGATTACATTTTTTACATTTACACCAGTGGTGGGATTCAAAAAATTTTTTTACTACCGGTTCTGTGAGCATGGCTTAGTGGTTGTGGCATGGCTTGGTGGAAAGGGAAGGATACTGTAAACTCTCCATTCCCACCCCACTCCTGGAGGAAGGTTACTGCAAAATCCCCATTCCCTCCCCACCCCACTAACCTGCTTCCCAGCTCCGTTCTCCTGTGCAGGGCGATCAGCTGAGACTCAGGAGGCAGAGAATAGATGGGGGCAGGGCCAGTCAGAGGTGGTATTTGCCGGTTCTCCAAACTACTCAAAATTTCCACTACCGGTTCTGCAGAACTGGTCAGAACCTGCTGAATACCACCTCTGATTTACACTTCATTGAAATCAGTCATGTCTGCTAATGTAGCCAGGATCCATCTCAAAGTTAAGAGGATTGAGATTTCAAGCTATTTAACAGAATAATAGAATAACGGCACAACAGTTGGAAGGGACCATGGGGGTCTTCTAGTTCAACCCACCGCTGGAAATAGCAAGAAACCATATTCCATTTCAGACAAATGATTGTCCAATCTCTTCTTAAAAATCTCACCCACCTCTCCAGGCAGGTCATTCCACTGATTGTTCCAACTGTCAAGAAATTTCTCCTTAGTTCTCGGTTAGTTCTCTCCTTGATTAGTTTCCACGCATTGCTTCTTGTTCTCTTTTCTTATTTTAATTGAATTTGCTAGAAAATGATCGCAAGGCTCGGTTTACATCTAGCATATAGGATGTGTTATAAATTAACCTCATACTAATTCCCTAAATCCAATCTAGTTTCTTTCTACTCACCAAAATGCGAAGATTCAGTCAAAGGTTAAAATCTTAGGTTAGTGGTGGCAGTATTTTAAAAAAGATTTTCTGTTGCTAAGCGAGACAGTTGTTAAATGAATTTGGCCCCATTTCGTGACCTTTCTTGCCACAGTTGTTAAGTGAATCACTGCAGTTGTTAAATTAGTAGCCCATTTGTTCAGTGAATTTGGCTTTTCCATTGACTTTACTTGTCAGAAGGTCACAAAAGGTGATCTCATGATTCCCCGGGACACTGCAACCGACATAAATATGAATCAAGTGCCAGAATTTTAAACATATGACCATGTGGATGCTGCAACAGTTGTAAGTGTGAAAAACAGTCCTAAGTTACTATTTTTAGGGCCACTGTAACTTCAGTCATTCAACAAACGTTCGTAAGTCGAGGACTACTTGTATTTACCGCCTCTCCTTCTTCTTTAGTTGCTTACTGTTTGTTTGGGTTTTGCTAATAGGGTTTCACTGGGTATCTCTGTTATATCACAGAGAAAACTATGGTACGGCCTGCAAAAAATGTTCGTGGTTTGGTTGTCAGGTAGAAAACCAAGAATACACCTTAACTACCGGTTCTGTGGGAGTGGCTTGGTGGGCGTGGCAGAGGAAGGATACTATCTCCAGTCAGAGGTGGTATTTGCCGGTTACTGCAACACAGAGGTTTCCATCAGCCTCACCAAAACAGTCATAATGCGAGAAATCAGCCGTCAGTGTTCTTGTTAAAAAAGAAAGGGTGGCTCTGGAAAAGAATGGTTGGAAACGAGGTCCAGATGTAAAACCGTTTTGAATTGGGAAAGTATCAAAATTCGCAGCTGGGGTCTTTTGTACGTCTGATGTAGTAGCCTGCTTGTTTACTTTTCCTGCTGACCACTTACATTTGGGGCAGAGAAACATGGTTTTGGAGAGAAAGGCTAAGGCAGGAAGCATTGGGTGTCATTTACTTTACATTGCCTGACGGCTGCCTGCCTCCCTCATAAGCAGGGACATATGGATCTCTTGCATATGTATTTCTTTTCCCTGAATCTGTTTGGCGACTCAGCTGGTTTTGATAGCTTATCCCACTAAATGATATTAGCTTGGATTTAAAGGGTTAGAGGGGGGGGGGAACATATGACAGAAATAGCTAAGGAAACCACTGCCTGGAGCTAATAAACTTGACACTTAAAGGAAAAGCCAAGGAGTATCACCATTAATGCCTGTTGCGAGAATTGCTTGATATACATGGTGTCCAATCCAAATGCCATTATTTTGGTATAATTGTTTATGGAGAGCTACACACCTAATGATTCTAATCCTTAACTTGCTTAATTTCTCTGAAATGCTTACCTTCTTTTCCTTGTTGGAAGCTGAGATTTACCATACAAAAATTACGTTCACATAATAAGCTGTAACATTTCAAAGGCTACATATACATTCTGTCTAATAGGAAAATCTTATGGAGTCAACTTTTTCTGACAGTTCATCCCATTTCCTACCCACAATAAGATGCAACTTTCCTTTCCTACTTGGTTCTGAGATACAGTGAAGAAAACAGCTTCTTAAAGCTTTAATCTTCAGTATATCACAATAGTAACTGGATTTACAGCCTTACCGAACCACAGAACAGGTGGTAGTTCTGTGCATCCAGGGAAGCTAACCTATTACAGGTGGAGCCAACTTACGAACACAATTGAGACCAGAATTTATGTGCCTGAGTTGATTTTACAACCGGTTTTTCCATGATTAGCAATAGCAATAGCATTTAGACTTCTATACCGCTTCACAGTGCTTTACAGCCCTCTCTAAGCAGTTTACAGAGTCAGCATACTTCCCCCAACAGTCTAGCTCCTCATTTTACCGACTTTGGTAAGATGGAAGGCCGAGTCAGCCTTGAGCCTGACGGGATCGAACTGCCAAACTGCAGGCAGCTAGCAGTTAACAGAAGTAGCCTGCAATCCTGCACTCTAACCACCGCACCACCACGGCTCTTAAATGAATCACTAGTTGTTAAGTGAACCAAGCATTCTTTAAGCAAATCCAGCTTCTCCCATTGACTTTGCTTGTTGGAAGTTGGCTGGGAAGGCCTTGCCCAGGTGACCCTGGGTTGCCAAGCATCCAAATTTGGTCCACATGACTGTGGGGGGAGGGAGGGGGGTTTCCGATGACCTTAAGTGTGCAAACCGATCATAAGTCACTTGTTTCACTGCCGTTGTAATTTTGAATGGTTACTAAACAAATAATTGCAAGTCTATTACTACCTTATGGCCCTCAAGCTCCATGTCAAGTCCAAGTCAAAAGCAATATTGAAATAAGGTGTGGTAAACAATTTTATTCAACTGTATCATTGGCCAGTTATCTCCTTGCCTGCTGCTGAAAGAAGTACAGAAAAAAAAAACCCGATATCCTTGCAGTTTCCAAGTACAGGTAGTACTTATGACCGAATTCTTGAGCCGAGAATTTATGTTGCTAAGTGAGACATTTGTTAAGTGAGTTTTGTCCCATTTTATGACTTTGCTTGCCACATTTGTTAAATGAATCACTGCAGTTCTTAAATTAGTAATATAGTTGTTAAAGGAATCTGGCTTTCCCATTAAGTTTGCTTGTCAGAGGTCGTAAAAGGGGATCCTGTGACCCCGGGACACTGCAGCCATCATAAATGTGAGTCAGTTGTCAAGCATCCAAATGTAAATTACGTGACTGTGGGGATGCTGCAACAGTCGTAATTCAGGAAAATGGACTTAAGTCATATTTAAATTGAGGGGCTGCACAGAGAGGAAGGGGTCAAGCTATTTTCTAAAGTGCCTGTAGGCCAGACAAAGAATATTGGATGGAAACTGGACAAGGAGAGATTCAACCTGGAAATGAGGAGAAACTTTCTGACAGTGAGAACAATCAACCAATGGAACAGCTTGCCCTCGGAAGTTGTGGGAGCGCCATCACTTGAGACCTTCAAGAAGAGATTGGACTGCCATCTGTCAGAAATGGTGTAGGGTCTTCTGCTTGGGCAGGGGGTTGGACTAGATGACCTATAAGGTCCCTTCCAACTCTGATTATCTGTTACCTGTTGAGTCCCTTTTTTCCAGTGTTGTTGTAGCTTCAAACAATAAGTAAATAAATTGTTGTAAGTCAAGGACTACCTGTAATTACATTTAACTATCTTGTAGCATAGCTTTGAGCAAAATCAAGCCTTACTTAATTCTTTTGTGAAACTATGATTAGGAACATTCATTTTTTTTGCAAGCACCTCTGTTTGAAGTTTTAAGTTCATAAATCCCTTACTCATGCTTGTGTCCTCCTACTAAATGAAGCGTTCATACATAAATGAAAAGAAAACAAAGACCAAGATTCTGGTGGGGTAGGTTGATTAGGAAACTTGGAGATGAAGTCACTATAGAACCATAACAAATTGTAAAACCAGAAAGTCTTATAATGATAAAAGAATACCTTGTTTGATTGCCAGTGGTGTCAACCACCTCATTAGTGAAATGTACTGAGAGAAGTTAGACAGGCCGTTATTTTTCATGCATTGCTATTGTTAGCATCATATCGTATTGTGAAATTTCTGGTTTCAGTCTTCATAACCAGTTGTCAATACTGATTATGCAACACTTCACCTAAGACCCAGTTTTAACAGAAATACTTTGAGGGTGCTGAGTAAAAAATAAAGTACCATCCCTGGGCTTTGCGGCTATGTTTGTATTTATTATCCTTGTTTATCCTCACACTGTATGTGTTCAGCTCAGTGTCTTACAGTTGTTGGCAAAACAGCTGCCTTCCAGCATGTTTGAAGAAACACTTTCTGTTCACACAATTAAAATGAAATAAATATATTTAAAATAATCTTACATGACAGATAAGTTAATTGTATTTTTTTCTACACTCCACAGATGAAATATAATAGACACAGAAGTAGGTTTTTGCCCTCAAAGGAATAGCAGCCAGAAGGAACTAATTAGTAATTTAGTCTATATTCAGTGGCTACGTCTTCTACCACTGTCATCAAGTATCATGTAACAATTATTCTCTACAAGTAGATATAAACATTGCAAATTTCATTTGATGGTATATTGAAACTGAATTAAAAGCTACTTAGATTCATACCATGCCTTACTCATGTACCATGTGGCATTTTAATTTTCCAGTCATAAAGAGAGATTTTTCAAGGGAAAGTTAACTCAGTTTCTATGTTAAAATTATTGATATTTCTTTAAAACTTGAATCTCAAATACTCAAATTGTAATGAATGATTTTTACTCCAATTCTGAGCAGCCTTTTCTCATCATTTATTATTGCATTGACTTGAAACCATTTTTTCATCCTAATCTTCAGGCAGAAAGTTTCCCACAGAAGCTTATGTATAACCAGTGAAAGCAGAACAGTCTTTATTTGCAAACTTACAGTCTATAAGATACAATACAAAAGGAGGAAGAATAAAGAAGGAAAAAAACAAACCAAAGTTTAGAGCAAATCATGAAGTTGAATAGCATTGCTTAATTCAAGAAAAAGAGCAACCCTTGTCCTATAGTTAAAGATGGACCTAATTAAATAACTTGATTGGGAAAGAATATTTGGCTTCTTTATTATATATTACATATTTTTAAATTTATTTTATATTATGTTTATATTAATGTAAACATAATAAAACATAAATCATTACTACATTAAATTGCATGAGTTTACATTCTTTAACTGATAAAGTCAAATAGTATTTTTTAATTCCAGGAAAAGAGCATTTCACATTCTTCCTTGCTGTGAAATGCTATATATAGTCCTTTTCTGTAATAATGAGAAGCATATTATACAATATCCATTTGCCAAAAATGCAAATATGACAAAGAACAGGAAACAATTCCAATGCTCTGACTAGTGTTTCCATACATTACACACTTGCAAACATGTGGTTGTAGTGTTCATACTTGACTATTTTAAATGTAAACCTAAACCAATATTTTAGTGAGCTTTGGTTTACTATTGTTCCAATTACTTACACAGGGAAACATTTTTTTTCATATTGGTGGGCGCACACACACAACCCTCACCTATAGGATGCTGTTAAATTACAATTTATGCATTAGAACTTTTTCTTTTCATGGCAACTTTCCATTTATTAATTCATAAGCTTGCTCTGTCCTGTTTTGACATCTATCAGTGATAAAACTCCAATGAAGTCGCATTTGTAATGTCTGTTTTCTACACAGTGTGAACTCTTGGGTGCATTGTATCACAAAATACTCATTTGCCTGAATTTTAAACCCATGTCTATATATGTTTGAGCCAAAAATTTAAATCATGAGCAAGTGCTTATAAAGCATTGAATGCCTTTGTGGGGATACTGCAAAATCAGGCTGGCATGGAATAAACCAAAATATGTCAGGTTTAACAGCTCTGAAAATTTCTCTCTCTCTCTCTCTCTCTTTTTGCTAAAATGTGATATTCTGAGGAATAATGCTTTGACCGATCACAACAAAAAAGCATGTTTGTTTTAAACTTTGACTTAAAAAATAAGTCACCATGTTGTCTATTCTGCATGGACGAATGTGTTATTTTTTCTCATTCAGCAACGTTATTTCAAGCTTGTTTGTTGGTTTTATAAACATTCTGTCATCTTCAAAAGATTTTGATGCTTCAGTGAACTGAAATACTGTACAGCTTCTTCTCCTCTTCTATACTCTTTTTTTTTTAAATCTCTGCAGAGGCAATTTCAAAGGTTTAATCCAAGCTAAACATCACCCATTCAAGTAGATCTTGAAATTACAGTCAGATGACCTTTGAACAGGATGTCCACTCTGCAAAGACCATTCCTGTACATTGTGTCAGAGAAAAAGGGAATATGTAGCATCTAGTTTCCTGAGACCTGGGCAGGCTGTTTATTCCAACACTAGAAATCACAATGAAAACACTAGTGGGCAGCAATGAATTTGCATATTTTTATTCCCCTCAATTAATATGTCCTACTGTTGGAGATTGGTGGTTGTACTTGAAGTCTGTCAAGTAATTACTAGAGGATACCCTGCTCTTGTCTTGTAATAAATGTTTTATCTCAAAGTATAGAAACATTCAAAGTGTGCTGGAAGATCATAGAGGGTGAAGGAAACAGAATTATGGGTCAAGTTTTCTTTTTTATCCTTTTTATTTATGAAATTACTTTGCCTATTGAGAGTGTATTTTTAAGGCGGTCTTCAGAGCCACAAATACTGGAAGCAAGTGTAATTTGTTTTTACATAAAAGCTTATGCCAGAAGAAAAGCTTATGCCAGAAGAAACTAAAACATATCTTGAAGATGAACTGTATAAAATTCAGCTAGGCATAGGTTTCATGTCATTATGAGATCTGCTCCGTGTTCATGTGGGTAGCATGCAACGCTGATCTCTCTCTGTCTTCAATACTTTTTTAGCTGGAGCTTTTAAAAATTACCTGTAAGTTTTTGGAGACAAATTGTTACAAAGCCTTAAGTGTTACCCGAATTAACCGGTTTTCTATGCCATTTTACAAATATAATCATAGCTCTAGTTGGAATAAGAGCCTCAAGCCTTTTCAAACCCACTGAACTCACTAAAACCCAGTAAATTTCTGTTTTCTTTTTATCGGCTCTTTGGGACTTCTAAATCTTTGTTCCACCTCTGTAGACCCAGAACACTCAATTATAGTGCTATACTGTATGTGCTGCTATCGAATAGGGTGGTTTTGATTCAGTGCTTGATTTCACTTTGGAATAATAAACGTTAAATATGCATTTCCTTTAGCTGCAGGCAAAAAGGTTGCATCGCTCTATTTCTTCCTAGGAAAAAATTAAAACAGCTACTGCATCTAATTAGTAAAAAAAAAAAAAAAGGAAGATATTTTTCAATTGTCTAGAAGACCCATCGTGTATCTGCCATGTGGCGCTACCTTTCCACTTCTAAGTCACTATGCTCTTCAGTGGGTAGTAGCCATATGTGATGCTGCCCTATTGACAGTAAAGAGTATCAAATTGCTTTCCCAAAGGCCCGAAGCTCCCAAGCTGGCTGCTCCAAAGGATCTCTTGTTAGTAACATGTCTGCAATTCTCTTTGCTGACTCCGTACTTGGAATGCAGCTGGCAGGATTTTTAAACATTAATTTGATTTAATTTGGTTTGTGTGTACAGGTGTCCAGGAGGCTGTGGTGACTTGCCTGAATAAACAGACCAGAGAATTTGCAGATGAAAATCTATGTGTGAGCAGTCGGCGCCCCCCACAGTTGCTGAGGTCCTGTAACCTGGAACCTTGTCCCCCAAGGTAGGCTGTTGTTTGCTCTCTTCTCCGTATGGGTCCTCAGCGCCATTTGCACTTTGCCACGTTGTATTTGAAAGGCAGAGAAGCTTAACACAATTGGGAGCATATTTCCTGGCACCCAGCACAAAATAACTGCACTGATTTAAAGTGAGTTATTTTTCCTATCCGCTTTATTATATTCAGGGTTATTTCTAGTTCAGTATGTGTGTAAGTAATTCCACTCTACAATGGAACTCAAGATCTTCCCGACCTTTTCTGTTCTGTTTGTTCCGTTACTTTCCAGGCTGTTTGCCCATGCCTGGGTTGGTGTGAATGGCAGCCATCAAAAGTTGCAAGGAGAATTAATTCTTTCAAATACTTTATGTGTAACTGAACACTTTTTAACATATCAAATTGAATGGGAATGGAATCTGCTCAACAGATTTCTGATTTGCTTAGTTTTTGTCTTATGTCTCAACCCTACCATTACTAATCTGGGCATTTGTAGGGCTCCAGTTTAGCAAAAATTGACTTAGGCTACTCTTGTCATCTGCGACAGTTTGTAAAAACATTTGATACATGAGTTCATAAGTGAAGGAACATCAATAAGGAAGCTGTAATCATTTTTCACTTCAATTTATATTTCCTGATGGCCATCCTTCAGCTTTAAAGCACACTAAAGATGATTTAGAGATGTGGTGGCTCAGTGGCTAAGATGTTGAGCTTGTCGATCAGAAAGTTCGGTGGTTCAAATCCCTAGCGCTGTGTAATGGAATGAGCTCCTGTTACTTGTCCCAGCTTCTGCCAACCTAGCAGTTCAAAAGCATGTAAAAATGCAAGTAGGAAAATAGGGACCACTTTGGTGGGAAGGTAACAGTGTTCCGTGCGCATTCGGCGTTTAGTCATGCCGGCCACATGACCATGGAGACGTCTTCGGACAGCACTGGCTCTTTGGCTTTGTAACAGAGATGAGCACCGCCCCCTAGAGCCGGAAACGACTAGCATGTATGGCGAGGGGAATCTTTACCTTTTAAATATGATTTTAGAAACCAAGAAGACTTACATCAGAGAAAGTGGTCAGCAGATTACCATTTTAAAATAGTTTTGACATAGTCACTGCCAGTAACGCTTTGGTAAAAAGGCGATCTTTACCTAAAAGCGATTCTTGACCCTTTTTTTCTTCTTAAATTGTCAAAAGCATGTTAAATGTAAACGATGTTTCGGAGAGAGTATGCAGAAATGAATGAACCGTACATCCTTTTGAAAAGAGGAATCTTCATGATAAATCTTAGATTCGATCATAAGAACTTGTAGTGTCAACATTGTTTAGCAAGATTCAGATGTATGGGGACAGTTTGCTTCTAAGTGTGGGTGTGGGTTGCAGAAGGAAGAGAAGAGAAGCAAGCAAGGAATAAAACCCAGATGGACAGAAAGAGAAGAAATTCCAGGCAAATTCTGCAGCTTTGTTCTTACGATACTTTCAAAACTAAGCATTTATTCTTGTGCAAGTAACTGAATGGTAATGAATAGGTGCACGCTAGGCAGGAAAAATTCCACGTTTCCAGAGGAATTGGTATATAACTCTGAAACTTTATGGTTCCTATAAGAACAGAGACCAGGCCAGAGGATGGCAACCGAATGGTTCCAGGCAAATCCGATCTAATTCAGAGCCTAATTAGTAACTGCCACAGCTGTTCCACTGTATGCTGATCTGTATTAGAGCATCTTTGACTATTTGTCTTCTGTAAAGCTGTTCAAATAGAGCCTACTTGATGCATTTTGGTGTGTTCCCTTTTTTCTTTCTTTTCTGAATAATTAAAAAATCCCTCACACTCTCATATAATATAGAAAACATGTAATAGCAATACTATTTTAATAATACAATTACTGCAATGGTTAGCCAATATGTATAAAATGCTACATGCTCCTTGATTTACTATCTTTTATTTAGAGAGTATTTGAAATTAAGCACTGAAAAAAGAGACTTGCTACCAGTCCTTGCACTGCATGATCCTCAAAGTCACATGATCAATATTCAGATGCTTGGCAACCAGCTGCATTTATGTCAGTGCAACGTCCTGGATTCAACTGCCATTTGCAACTTTCTCAGCTGGCTTCCAACAAGCAAGTCAATGGGGGAAAGCTAGATTAGTTTATGACTGTAGGCAATGACCAGGCTGAGCCTGAGGGAGGGGTCAAATGCGTCATCAGTCTTGAATCCCTTTGTAGCCCCAAGAGATCTAAGTCCAGTCCACCTTGATCTCCCATTGATTCTTATCAACCGCCCAGTTATTTGGACCGTCAATAGTTCAGATTCTTGTAGAGGAGGGGTGTCAAACTGGCGGCCTGCGGGCCGGATGGGTCATGCACTGGCCAGGCCCATCCCATTTTAGCGAAGGGAGGGAATCACGATATGTCACGTGACAACACATGTTTGACACCCCTGTTGTAGAGAGCTTAAGCTTGCAATAAACCTTTATTCTCATTTGAACTACCTGGATCTTCTGATTTCCCTAGCGCTTGACAATGACCCTGTGATTCATTTAACAATTGCAGCGATTTGCTCAATAACTGTATTTTTTAAAAAAGGTTGTAAAATGGGTACAACTCATTTAACAATCACCTTGCTTAGCAATGGGAATTCTGGTGCCAGTTGTGGTCATAAGTCAAGGACTACCTGTACAAGACTTGGGGTAGTGGATAGTATTAAAGAAGAGACTGAGATCAATTCCACTGCTCCTTTACAAGCTTTTCCATTGCATTCCGGAAAAGCATATTCCAATTTGTTCAGAAAACATAAACATAGATCCCCAAATGGGGTATCTCACTAGTCTCTTTTATGTCTAATTCCTGAGGGGTTTGATGAATAAACATCTCTCATTCAGGCAGTGTTGCTCTGTATCTAAAATTGTGGTTGGCTGCAGCTGCTTTTCCTTTCAGGAATAGTTCAAAAGAGCATCTCAATCTCTTTTGCTGTTTCTGCTTAATTCAGAAGAAAAAGAAAACGTACCATACTATCAATGAGAACATTATAACCAATTTTAATAGAATAGAATAGAAATAGAATAGGAATAGAATAGAATAGAACTCTTTATTGGCCAAGTGTGATTGGAAACACTAGGAATTTGTCTTGGTGCAAATAGTCTATCAAATGAAATACTCTGTATCAAAATAATCTGGGGGTCAAATCTTGAGATACACCTGGGAATGTCATGCTCCTTTTTAATTAAAATGAGAGCAAAATGTTTTGAAGTCATCATGGGGAAAATGCTTAAGTATCGCATTATTTAAAGAAAAAAATAGCAAAAAGGAAGTTTGGACTGGGAAAGTTACATAAAAGAAGTGATGCTTAATTACTTATCTTATCCTAATTCCTTTAAAATGTTTTTCTTTCTTCACGTTTGATATGCTTTAAAATGGCTGAGTATGGGAGTGAGCGACAAAACGACCAGAAAAAGTTCAAGGCATTACTTGCAAACAAATATATTGCCAAAATCATCTGCCAACAAAAATCTCCTTTTCCATCTGCCAGTCATTTGGTAACAAAAGTTACTTTCATGAAAGTAAAATTTGTTTTGAGTGTTTTACTACATTCTCATTTTCAGTGAGAGACAAAACTGAAATAAATGGTAATATCTTGGAATAGGAAGACAGCATAATAGGAAGACAGCTGATAACATTCTCCTTAGACGGAAACGAGAAGAACTCCAATATTTTTAAATACCCCCATTGCATTTCCTTTCTCCTTTCCTTGTTACCCGTCTACAGGGATTGAAAATAATGATGTATAAAATGGAATGAATTCAGTGTTATTAATCTTGAAGTCTAGAGATTTTTTTTCTTTCAAATTTGAACACTGAGTACCAATGCCTTCCTAAATTGCAAAAGAATGCCTTTTAAAAAATAAAAAATAAACCGCACTTTCAATTTATTTGAATTGCTGAAAAATGTTTAGGAAAGATTTTTTTAAAAAATATTTCTGCAAATAGTCCTTGGGGAACATTAGGCTAAGAGGGGACGAATGCTCAAGTTCACTTTATTTATTTATTTGTTTGTTTGTTTGTTTGTTTATTTATTTATTTATTTATTTATTTATTGGATTTTAAAGTGTGATGGCCTTGGGGCCCATATTTAAAAGACAGTCATGTGATCCTTTGCTGTTGGTTTGATTAAAAATGTTTTTCTACCATTCTTACACCAGCAGGGCACATTATACAATATTATTTAAAATATCCTAGTAAAAATATACATGACTGCAAAAGGCAATCAGTTTTTAATTGGCTGAACAAAACAATCAGCATTTGATCTGATGCCAGAAAGAATGATTCACCTTAAAGTCAATTCCACGAGAAATTTATAGCCTAGAAGGTGCACCACTGGACAGTTGGGCGCTCCTACCCACCAAACCATTTTCATGTTGATTGAAGTCTGTTTTATGAATTTGTGAGCCTCCACAAATTGCCCACAGCCACAGCACCCACAATAGGCTGTCAAAATTTCAAACTGGCTCCAACCAAAGAACCCCTTTTCTTTTTTAACGAGTTTGGAATCCAAATCAACTGTGAAAATTGGAATCAGTAAGAAGGAAAATGTTTTGAATTTGCCCCACAATAACAACTGAATAGAATACTGAATGCGTAAGCTGGTCAACTGGCTATTGTTATTTCTAAATTTGTGCTTTTGCTTATAAGGTAATGTATACTTGCTTTCTCTTTTTTCCTCATTTGTGTTGTTGTTGTTGATCGACTTTTTAGTATTTTGTTGTGGCCAGATTTTTTGAACACAGGCTTGTCCAAATTTTTCACTCCATATTGTTGCCTCTCACTGTTTCTCATAGTACTGGTTTCTCAGTTCCAACTTTGTAAATTAGACATACTTACATATCACAATTCCTGCCCTTTGCTTCGAAGCTCATCTGCAATGCGGCTTAAATACTGTTGTTGATCCATAATCTCATTCAGCTTGCAGCTTTATCAGCCTTGCAAAATTTAATTTGCTTCCTTGGTGTTAATCACTGGGCCATA